AAAATCACAAGGTCAACGATGCTTGAGAAATTCCTTGTGTGCTGGAGACTTCAGGAAATGCCCTACCACTGAGCTACAGCCCCAGCCTACATGTTCTATTCTCAGACACGTTCTTACCAAAGTACTCGGTCTGTAGTTCACAACACCCGTACATTTATGATCCTGCTGCCCTGCTTCAGTCTCTTGAGATGGGAGTAGGGCCCGCCTTGAGAAAATGTCTCCTTCTAACAGTCATGTACAGAGACACTACACCACTCTATTCTATTAGGAGTAGTTGGCGAAGAGAGACTCATGACTTATAGCCAGAGTAGCAAGTGACTTAACAGATGAAACAGAGGTAGGGGCCTATGTGTCCTGAGAAGTGGGAAAGTTCACCTGACAGTAGATAAAGAAGACCATGTAAAGAGAACACATGGGGAAGCCCTAGACAGTAAGACTGTAGTATGCATTCGAGGGAAGGGAAGAAATTAGATGAGGACAATCCTTACCTTTTTCCTCAATGCCATTATAGCAGATGACATGGCTCAAGCAATAATAAATCCTGTGTCTTCATTGTTTCCTTAGTAATAACACCCTTTGCACTCTTCATAAAGCTTAAGACAATCTAAATCTCATGATAATTCTTAGGGGACTTCATGCTGGGAGCGATGACATGTACAAGGGGAATGCAATTCCACACTTGTCCTCAACAACGGAACTATACACCACTGGTTGGCTAAAAAGTTTTCCTAGAATTACCGTCTCCCAATTACCTTCTCAGTCTAAGTATTCTTTGATGGAAATTCCGGACTTGCCCTACTTTATAAATCAAGAAAGTGAGAGAGGTGTTAAGTACACAAAAGTGATAGGCCTGGAACTCTGGTGTCTAACCCTATGTCTAAACAATACTTATATGTGGAGGGGCTTGATTAAGTTTCTATCTTCTAGACTGGATTATACAGCACTTCATTATTTTGGTAAAGACCCGTATTGAGTCTTACCCCAACTGAAGGCCAGATTGGAACAGATGTTAATGCTTCCGTCTGAAGAACTTCTGCTTGATTGCCCTGAGCTGGCTCCCTGGACTTGCCTTGCCTCTGGATTCAAGTAGAAACTGACTCTTCTTGATTTCAAGCTTGCTGGCTTGTAGGCTGGGATGAATGTCACTGGCTTTCTTGGTTGTCAGGCCTTTGGATGGTGACTGGAACTACCACCATTGCCTTAGAAGTTCTCAGATTCCTTCACATGAGCCAATTTCTATTATTTTCTACATATACATCCTATTGGTTTTGCTTGCCTGTGACTCCTAATACAGGAGTGAAGAGAGACTGTTAACAGAGATTACACTGAAGCAGTAGGGATTGGGCTGAGCCATACAATCCTAGAAGATCTTTCCAAAAATGGAGCTTTTACTAAAGACTACCATTCAGTATGGGTATGCTACTATAGCTAGGATTATGACCTTGACAAAGCCTTAATGACAAGGTTAGGACCTTATAAAAAGAGACATCAGACAGGCTGTTCCCTACTCTCTTGGCATATTGCAGATAAATAAAGAGGAACCTGCCATCACCAAGAAAGTGTTAGGATATATACTATTTAGAAAAGATTGTTGAGCTGCTCCCAGGTTTACTGCTTTTCTTTAATGTATGCAGACCTAACTGTAGCTATCAACAAACCTGAATGAAGGTCATAGTATATGAAACTCACAATGTTTTCCACCAAATAATATAGATGAAATTATAAATTCCTGGTGTGTGTGTGTGTGTGTGTGTGTGTGTGTTGGTAGTGGTGGGGAGTTCAGCAGAATAAACACCAAACACAGGCATGCTTTTTTTTTTTTTTTAACTCAATAGTCACTACCAAAACAATGTTTTGTGCCCACTAAAAAATGCAATCTTGGGGCTGAGAGATGGCTCAGCAGTTAACAGAGCACTTCCTGCTCCTCCCAAAGATTAGCTTATCAGTTCCCAGCACTCACATCAAGCAGATCCACAAGCACCTACACCTCCAGCTCCAGGGCACCACACACCTTCTTCCAAACTCCATGGACATCCTATTATACTATTCAAAATCATTTCCAAAAAGACTATTTTTAGCACATTTGCAGAATTGCATTAACTTTAATTTTGGCAAGGGGACCAAACCTTAACAGACCAATAAATAGTAAACCTATCTGACTTTTCTACTTTCTGAAACTCTTGTCCAAAATATTATAAGTCAGTTTTTGAGTAATTTTTAATTCTCATAATATTGGGCCTTTCCCTTCAACTACTGTGGCTAGCTTCAGGTACCCTAAAGCAGGGCTGTGGAATAATCAGATCATGGTATGATGCAGGTAGGTATTCAATGCTTACAATTGCCCCCACCCCCCAAAAAAATCTTCGGACTGCGTTTTTTAGCCATTTCTTTAAGAAACAAACAGGAGAATATATCCAGCTGTATATGAACATGTTACCTAAACCATTTAGCAATTTCTTCTGTAATTTATAGTAAATATAAACATATAAAGCATACACATACTCAATTAAAATGTCCCAAATCTAGAATTCGTAATAAAATTACTTTTCTCATTAGAAAAATTTGGCCATGAAACAATATATAACACCCATCTGCAACACCAAGGGTATAAGTACACTGATTTATTCTCTAGTTTCTTGTCAAGTAACACTTAAAAGGATTATCTGAAAGCATCAGCATATTTTCAAGAGAAGCTATTTCAAACTTCAGACAGGTCAAATTAATCAGTAACAAAAAATCAATTTTATTACAAAGTAAAAAGTACGAAGACTGCCCTGTTCTTTGGCTTCAGAACTAAGTTTCATTTGATCAGTTTTCTGACCTTTTGGAGTACCCCAACTCCTGAATGATACACAAGTGATCTCCTTACAGTACTACCTTAGCTAACTGGCAAGGGGCTGCCCATTTCATCTGCAACTGTGCATCAGAACAAAAAGGCAGCAACCGTGAAACAATAGTCTGCGGAGTCCTTTGAAGTAGTAAAATTGACAAAAGCCCAACTGTGTACCAGTACTGAACACCATTAGTGACAATAAATTCTTCCCCAGGCGGAAACTCCTGTCTCTCCCCTTTGGTACAGTTCCTGTCTCCTATAATGTCCTGGCTTCCTTCTTGTAAGACAGCCTTACCTCACCTTCACTCATAAAGAAAAGCGCTGCCCCTGCACAACACCTGTTTTGGTACTAGCTGATTTTCTTTATGCCTCGATCATTGTTTTGTGTGTTTTTAAATACCTGGTTGACTGCAAGGCAAGGATAAACACAGAACTACTAAAATCGGATTACAAGCAAAAGCAAGGACGATTTAAAGCACCAGGTGGCAGCTTTTTCAGAGATCATTTAAATATAAATACAGGGGCCAGGGAGATGGCTCAGAAGATGAAGGGACTTTCTGTGAAACCCTGATGACACAAGATGGACCTCTGGAAGGAGAGAAAAGAGTCTGTTACCCTCTGGCCACCTTGTGCCTCCCATGGTACACAGTGCCCCTCCCACAACTAGTGAAACGAATGAATGTGAGATGGCTAAGCAGGGAAAGGCGCTTCCAGGGATCTGAGGGAGCCACGTGGTGGGAGGAGAGAACATAGTCCTGCTCAAGCTGTCGTCCTTAGATCTCCACACATGTGCCATGACATGCACACATGCAACTCCTTCCCAAATAAATGAGACGTAATAAGAGCATTACAGGCAAAGAGAAAAAAAAAAAAAAGATGACATTCAGGGTTGAATTTGGGGAAATGGCTTGTTATATACCACATAATGTTTAACATTTAATCAGAAAAATGAATAATGTAAATGAGTTGATAAGGTTCATTTTGGAATGAAAATATACCAGATGATACTCTTCTAACTAGAGGAGAAGAAGGTCTTTTCAGAGGTAAAATTATCTAACACCACTTTCCATGCAGACAGAAGAGATCAGTAATGAGTACCACCACATTGTTCACGAAACTCTTCCTGATGGAAGACAAGAAGATCTCATTTGAGTTCTCTGGCAAGAAAGGCACTGTAACACAGAGAGGCAGCATACATCTGAGGGCTGGATGCTGGCTTTACCACATAGTTAACTGTGGGGACTTAGTCTACAACATACGTATGGGAGGTGAGGATGACAACTGTTTCTACCACAGCCTTTGCGGGGCGAAATGGGATAATGCACATAAACACTTCAATACAGTGACTGGTTTAGAGGAAGCCCCTCAATATACATCGGCTATTATTGTCATCATTACTTTAAAGGTGTGAAGAAACAGACTAGAAAGATTAAGTTCAGAGTCATATAATTACTAACAGGCAAAGTTAGAAGTAGAATTCTAATCTAAATATATTCCTACTACCCTGTATTACCATATGGATATCTCCTTTTAATTCTTTTTATGCTACAAAGTTTACTTTTTGTGGATGAAGCTATCATTTGATAGATTCAGTGGCATCGACAGCACTCTTGATGTAAAACTTTCTTTTCAGTAGGAAAGAAATCAATGGCAGGTATGAAAAGGATGTGGTCTTAGGGCATGGTGGTGTTCACCTGTACCCCAGAGTTTGAGAGGCCTAGGAAGGAAGATCAAAAACTTGGAGCCTGGCCTGGGCTACAAGGTGAGCTGAAGGTCAGCCTGAGACCCACTCAAAAAATAAACAAATGAATTATCAAGTAAACAAAGCAAACAAACAAAAGGAACTAGTCTGTTTGGAGAATCAGGGTGGAGACTATAATCTAGCTAGATCTACAACAACTTAACATTGACTTTTAAAACTTCCAAAAAGGAAGTATGGATGGATCAAGGGCAGAATGAATGCATGCTCAAAAGGCAGGCAGAAGGTTGTGTAGTCTGCTTAGAGAACATATATTAAAACACAGAAAAAAGAACCCCAAGTCTAAAACATCCTCCATAGGACTTGATTCACTGTACCTTGTAGTAACCATAATGTACTGTAAAGGTATCTATGCAGAAAACAGGGGATTGACTTTAACGGTTCCAGAGTAAGAAATAAAAGACTGAATAAGGCCTTCAATAGCTTTATTGAAATCTGTATAAATAAACATGCACATTTCAAATGTAAACTCAAGTGAACCCAAGTGCTGACAAAATATTAACCTCTGTCATGCAGGAGGTTAGTTTACATAAAAAAAAGGAAAAAAGGAAAGAAAAAAAAGAAAAAAGAAAAAAACCAAAAACCAAAAACCAAAACAAAACAAAAAACAAAGCAGCTTTTAAAAGACCAGGATAAAAAACCAGCTTTAATATCAAGATATAAAGCAAAGCCATGATCAACATACCTTACTTGTCCTGGTCAACTCCACTTTTTTCCTTTTTCTTTTAAAATGCTAACATAAATAAATAATTTACCAAAATGTGCACTCACAGAGTGAACTTTTATTTACAATACACAATTTATAATCTATTGTATTTGATTAGTTCAAGTGAAGAACATTTTACTTTTTGCTTTAATAACAGTGGGACACAAAGCGATTTCTCAGGTAGTCCTATGTGAAATGTGCCCCAGCATCTAATCTCCTATTAAAGGCAGTATTGTATGCCAATCAACGGTACATTCTTTCAACTGGATCATAGGGAAAGAAAGCAGCAAATGAAAATGTCTCAAATGCACACACATATATTTGGCATCCTGGATCCTTGAATGTGAGAAACTAAATTGAAACCCCAGGTTTGTCCGCCTCATATGCTGCACAGGTCTGACGCTGGGAACATGCAAATGCCGTCTCTCTTATACAAGTCACCTTCTGAGAAAAGCTGTAAGGCTATGGTGATTCCATCAGGAACACACAGAGAAAGTTAACAGACCTACCTCTATAGCCACGTTATCAATGAGTTAAAGGCTAGTGCATGAACAAAAATTCTCTCACCTAAGTTTGATGCAATTATGATTACAGATACAGAATACTCTTCAGCCTGTCTTTACATTACAGAAATTGGGAGAGCTAAGAAGTTGCCAAATTACCAAAAAAAGGGTAGAGAACAATAGACAGCAAAAAATTTAATTTTGGACCAACAGTTGACTAAAGATAAGCATTTTTAAATAAATAAAAAAATTTGAAATTTTAAAGAACAGATTCCAATCTTGGTGAAAAATACTTACACACAGCTGAAAAATGACTTTTGATGAAGTGTGAAATCTAGAACCCATTCCCACAATGAGTGAGGTAAATGTAATGTTTTGCATTTGAATGATACAACAAAAGGAAACTTTGCCAAGTTATTTCTCATGTTATGATCATTTTGTTTTTTGTTTTGTTTTGTTTTGAAAACAGACCCATACTGACTACCAGGGACAGATTTGAAAATCTAGCGTTCCAAGGACACACTGCAGTATTTGTGGCACACCGATATTGCTGTGGAGTACCGGAGTGGTGCAGACAGCAGCCTAACACACATGAACTAGATTACCCAAGAACTAAGTTCAGCCATAGTTTTCTTGCAGTATTATTAGAGCAAAATTAATGACCAACATCCACAAATTTAACATTTGTCATCAATTAAGTCACATCCAAAAGAATTAAAGAAAACATAATTCATCAAAACAGCAGCAAACTTAAAAGGGATTTATTTGTGATTTCCTATATATATTTAGCTTGTAAATACAAGACTGTAAATGTATTAAGAGACAATTTCTGTTAAAGTTTTCATTGTGTTTCACTTCAAGTACTGCACAAGTTAAAATCTGATAAAGGATTTACATTCGGTTATCTGAAACTCCTCATCTCAGACTTGTGTTTTAATGTGGTGGGCTACTTCATTTCCATAGACACCACCAGCAGGAAAGTCTCTCTTTATGGCTTCTTGGACTTTCATTAATTAGTGTGCATACAGTTTTCATTTTCTATATCATTGTCATTGTCATTGCTGTCTTCATCACTTTCCAGGGGGACGCCTGTGGCAGCTGAAGCACCTTTAGTGTCTCGGTCAAGAGGGAAGAAGCCAGTCCCACTGAAAGTGTCCTGTCTCTGGTAGAAGAGTACGTATGCTGCTTTGGACTGTCAAACAAGCAAGCACAGGATGTCAACACACAAGGGTCATACTTGATATCGTACGGATCTGTAACTAATAACCAATTTTAGTGACAAAAAAAAAAGATAAATCAAGTAGAAAAACTATACATGACCAAATGGAAGCTTATAAAATTGGCTAAATATAATTACTTCTATATTTAGTATTTTCATTCTATATAATTTGGGCTAAGAAATATATACAGCCAAAACACAAATTAACTTACTATAATATAAAACACAATTAGGGTTTTCTTTCTTTTAAGTTTAAGACGAGTGTCTTTCCAACCAACACTGTTTCATCTCATGCTTGGCCTCATGCAACATCCCCTACTGTATTAACAACCTTTCCTCCAGTGCTTATGCTTTTTTATTTTTAAAGACATGAAAGTGCAAGAGGATGATTGAGGACAAAAAAAGAGAACAGAGTGAACATGACTGAAGCACACCACTTACACACATGAAGATGTCAAAAAGAAACCTATTCTTGGTACAATTAACACATAAAATGTTTTCCTTTTTTTCAAGACAAGTTTTCCTTGTGTAGTCCTGGCTGGCCCTGAACTCAGAGATCCACCTGCCTCTGCTTCCTGAGTGGTGGGACTAAAGGCATATGCCACCACTCCCAGCTTGAAATAAATTATTTAAAAAGAATATTTTCCATCAGTCATAAGTATAGATTTTAAAATTTATTTAAAAATTTTTTTATTTGAATTAGTGTTTACTCCGCATGTATGTCTGATTATCACTTAGAAGTCCAATGCCTGGAGAAGCCACAAGAGGGCACTGGATCCCCTGGAACTGGAATAAAGACAGTTGTGAGCTGCAATGTATGTGTGGGTGCTGGGAATTAAACACAATGCTCTTAACCACAGAGTCATCTTTGTGGCTCCTGTATTACTTAAAAATAATGAACACGTGAGTCAACAGGAAATTATAAAATATTTCTGCAGAGCAAAGGAAACTGACAGCCTATAGAAGCAAAGAATCTTTGCTAGCTACATCTCTCAGTCAGGGTTGAAATCTAGATAAACATATAAAGAACTACTAAACTTAAACACCCCCAATTCAAGATGCCAATCAATAAAAGGGCCAATGAAATAAACAGCTCTTAGACTCAAAAAGAAAGAAATCCTGTTTTCTCATAAGCAGATCAAATAGTCAGTAAATAGTTTAAAAATTATTAACCATGCTTAGCCACAAGAAAATGTAAATCTAGAGTGTCCATTTCATCGAAGTCAGCATGGCTAATATCAAGAAATGAAAGACAAGTCCTGTGTTGAGGATGTAGGGAAAGCGGACCTTCATCAACTGCTGGTGGTAGTGTAAACCAGTACAGCCCTTTATGGAAATCAGTATGGAGGTGTCTCAAAACATTAAAATAAGACCTACCCAGAGAGTCAGCTAGCTAGAGCTCTGTTGGGAATCTTGTCAAGGGACCACATCCTATCAGAGACACCTGCACATGTAGTTGTACTGCTGCTACATTCACAGCAAGAGTGAACCAGAACCAGCCAAGATGTTTGTTAACATATGACTGGACAGTGAAAATAAGGTGCATATACACAATGGGATTTTATTCAGCAGTCAAGAAAAATGAAATACATTTTCAGGAAAAAAGACGAACTAGAAAATATTACATTAAGTGGGATGATAGACTCAAAAAGACAGGTCATGTTTTCTTATAAGCAGATCCAAACTTTTTAATGTTTATGTATGTATGCATGTATTTAATTTTTTATGTATGCATGAATTTGTATGTGAGTGCTTGTATGTATGTATGTACATATATAAGTGGGTGTGAGAGTGGAAACAGGAAATGAAACCATATAGCAAACCATGAGAAAGCAACAAGAGGTTTTGATGAAAAGTGATGGGCGAAAGAACACATATGGTAAGGAGGATATGGGGGTTGAGGGGTACAAGGAACAAGGGAATGGTGAGGAAAAGAAATCAACAAAAAGTGTTTGAAAACATCATAATGAAACCTAATATTCTGCAAGGTAACAACAACAACAACAAACAACAACAACAACAAAAGGTAGTCCAGGCTAACCCGGAACTTGCAATAGCACAGGATGCTCTGGAATTTGTGGTCTCTCTGTCCAAGTCTCTGAAATGCTAAGATCATAGACACGTGCCACCATACCTAGCCAATCACTGCGATTCATTGTGTACTATATATACCAGACATCTGGTTTTTTTTCCTGCATCAAAAACCACTACCAAGGGAACTCGCACTCTCCATTCAACACAACCCCCCCCCCTTCTCTCCACTGGGCTGACAGAGTGTGGCATCCATCTCACCTCAGTAACAGTTAGTGTAACCAATCTGCCCAAAGCATTCTAATGAATAGCTTTCCAGGGGTCGACAGTGTCTCAGTTCACTGGTGGCCTTTTGAAGTAATACTGGTCCATTTCTCAGGAGCACTGACATCTCACAGCATCTTCTCCCCAGTAATCTTTGTCTTCGGTGACACGGTTTCTCCTTAGGTCTACTCTCAATAAATCCTTTAAAACACCATGTCTGCCCCTCAGAACCCATCTGTCTCAATCTGTATCTCTCACTAGACATCCTAGCACTCAGGAGGTTGAGGCAGAAGGACTGTCATGAGGCTGAGGCTAGCCTGTACTACCCTGTGAGAACCTGCCTCAGGGAAATAATCTACAGGGAAATAATCTACTTCTCACTCTGAACCTAAGTATTAGTGCCACTCAAAATGAAAATTGACACAACTAGGTATAATACACTTCAAGTGTCACTGGCAAACTTAGTTCCAGTTTTGGTTATAAGCAACTCCAGTTTGGTTTTATGAATTCTACCCAGTAAATATCTCCCAAGTCACTTTCTTCTTGTCCAGAATATTTGAACTTCTGAAAAGACCTTGTCAGCTTGCCACATAGCCTTTCTGCTTTTACTCAATGCCTTCAAATCTGCCTTGCTCTACTTTTCTCAGAGAAATGTGAAGATAAACAGTACTGCTACACAATTTACCAGTCAATTACCTAGCTACCCAGAGCTTAACGTCTAGAACAATTATGACATTAATTTTCTTCACCTGAGCACTATTTTTTTTTTTTTTTGAGACAGGTTTTCTCTGTGTAGTTTTGGAGCCTGTCCTGGAACTCGCTCTACAGATCAGGCTGGCCTTGAACTCACAGAGATCTGCCTGACTCTAGCTCCTGAACACTGGGATTAAAGGTATGTGCTGCCACCGCCCAACAACCTGAGCACAAATTTGACTGTCTAATTTCTTCCCCCAAATCCTATACAAACTTTTCCTTTTAGTCACCCCCCCCTTGTTTAGAATACCAGCAATGTGTCTGTCATTTATGCTTCACGACAGGCTTTCTATAGTCTTGTTTTCCCTTTCTATGTTTCTCAGAAACATTGAATGGTAATTGCCATGTTATGATTGTTAACCTGTCTGTATCCTGGGTGGTAAGGGAAACAGACAGTAAAATACACAGCTGTTTAGAGTGGAGTCCTCTCTACTCTGTGCCTGACACATACACAGCTGACTAAATGAGACCTATACAGGAAATACCACAAGAAAATATTGCTACTTCTCTTTTTAGCAAAAAAAAAAAAAAAAAAAAAAAAAACTTTAAAAAATGTTATGTGTATATGTGTTTCGTCTGCGTAGCATGCGCAGGTCTGATGTTGTGGAGGCCAAGAGGACAGCAGATCTCCTGGAACTAGGGTTATGGACAGTTGTGTGCTGGGAATGGAATCTGGGTCCTCTGGAAGAACAGCCAGAGTTCTCAACTTCTGAGCTAACTCTTCAGCCCTGTTAAATTTCTTACTTATTATAATACTATAACAAATGAGTAAAATTTAGAGCAAAACAAGTCTCTATGCAATGACTTTAGTTTTCTTTTTAAAACACACTAGTTTCCTTCTATCAATCATTATTTGCAAATAAAAATGTGTTCTGTTGTGAAACAAAGCAAACACCAGTGGAGTGTGCAGTCATGTTTCAAAGGCCCCTTTTTCTTTTCTGTTTTTGAGACAGGTTTTCTCTGTTTAGCCTTGGCTGTCCTGGAACTCGCTCTGTAGACCAGGCTGGTCTCAAACGGCCCACAACCATGCCTGGCCCTCCAAAGACCCCGATACACCAGCACACATCCTGAACCAGTCTTTCTTCTGTTAAATTTATATTAGTCTGTAAGAAGTTGACCCATGACCTCAGAAACTGAAGATGTACTTACCACAATTTGGTCTTCAGATGCAGTGGAGACACTACTGTCATCAAAATAGTACCATTTGCCATCATCTTTATTTTTTGCAAAAGCAGTATCTAATGAAAAAATATAATTACTTATATGACTGAAGTATCAATGGCTTTTGGAGGGAATCCTTTAAACTCTATAATCACTTACATAAGAAATATCTATTAACTGACATGATAATCATGCATATCAGGCCTAGTATACATTCACTTGATTTGACAAAGGCTTTTAGAATAATTGCTAGTAATTTAAATGCCTAAGAAATACTTTTTTTTTCCTAAGCTGAAACTTTTGACTTTTTTCAGAGGGGGAAGATAACATTATTATTACTCCTTTATTTTAATTCACAGAAAGAACACTAATGACAATAATAATTACCATTTATGTAGTGCTATGTGACCAGGCACAGTGCTATACACTGTATCCACATTAAGGTATTACTGTTATTCTTCTCACTGTACAAATAGAAACCAAATGCTTGCAGAAGAATCATTGTTAAGGCAGTGTAGCTGCTATGCAATGGAGCTAGGACTTGAATCCAGGGCAATTTCTGACTCCTACATCTAGAATTTGTACTATTTATTTAAATTTCCTATGACATCTTCTTTGTGACAACTCTACCTAATCTGTAGTTTTACACACTACAGTTTTTTTGTCTTTAAGTATAGAACAAGAGAAAGACAAAAACCGGCTGCTTCTGTATTCCACACCCTGTACAAACTATTCACTCAAAGCTCCTGTGTGCTAATGGGACACTTCCCAACAACGGTTGGTTATTCACATACACTGGCTAACCACCAGCTTTAATGGGGAGCTGAGAAACTGTGTGGATTTAACAGCTTCCTCTGTGTATCCCCTCAGACGTTTTTCTTCACTCCTTCCAATACTGGGATCCACTACTAAACGTCTGGGTGTGTCTTTCGTTCTGTATGCTTCCTTACATCTTCATGGACTTAGCGTAAAGTCTGCTGCATGTGGTAGGTTTGCTATCTCAACTCAAGAGCCCTGAAGCACAGACAATGCACTTACAGAAGAAACGTTCTCAGTCCTAAAGAACATAGGTAACCTATGTCATCGAGTAAATAAAAAATTAATGACAGTATGAAAACACTGGGAAGAAAAGAATTAAAAAAACAACAGAAATATAGCTTAAGAGTAACTATAAATACTCTTAAATAAATTGGAATTTGGGTGAAATGGAAGTGCATTTAGAGAAGCAGAAAGATGTCCAAATATACATGTAAGAAAAAGAAAACCAACAGTCTAATAATGACACAAATAGAAAATCTTATGGGGTAAAGCCCATAGCTTGACAGATGAATTGTAGTATACCTATCAGATAGTCACACCCCATACTCTTCTGATGATTTCAGTAAATAAAGAAAAAAAAAAATCAACCTAGCTTATTTTAGAACCTTAAGTTTGATTACAAAATTAAATAATAGTAATTTTTACTTATGAAATTATTAACAACCCGAATTAGTTAATGAAATCAACTCTGCATCAAAAAAATGACAAAAAAAAAAAACATATCACAGGAATAAAAATCTACCAGGTGGAGTGTGCAAACTGTTACAGTCAACCTGAACTACAATCCGACACACTCAGCTTTATCAAGAATGTCACTTTTGGGTCACTCAGAGGAATCTTCAGGTAACAGTCCATAAACAATGACATTTTTCAGCCTTAGAGTAGCATAAGGTTAAGCACAATTTTAAGTGGAAAGATACAAGGTAATCATTGTAAATCACCAGTGGTAAAAGCAACACATTAAGTAGACACAAACTAACATGAGTCTAAAGTCTCAGGAGAAAGTCACTGAGATGGCTAGTTAGTCCCTATTGCTTAAGTTAACAGATCTGCATGATTTAAAAGAACACAACACCAGTCTCGTTAGAAACAACTAGAATGAAGAATGGGGAGGGAAAGCACCTGAACAGACAATGCTTCTTCCTGGACCTTCGGCTAAGGAGGAGGATTAACTAATTCCTTTAGAACTGGGTTTTAAAATTATACAGCCGATTTGTTCATTTATAAACACTAAACAATGATAATATGCAAAATACATCTGACATTTTCTTTACTTTAAAAGGTATTAACTATTTTACAGAAAAGTCTACAGATTGGAAAAATTTAAAAGGTAAACCGTCAACTTACAATGTCCACCTCCCATCCCTCCATAGTGGTTGGAAACTGCAATCAAATTATAGAGGCAAGGGCCTGCGTTTGGGTTAATGAGGAACTCCGACATATCCAAGTCACTGTTAAAAAGAAAATCAGTTAAGTTCTGCTTCCTTTAAAAGTGATGAAATCTTTTTCTTTTAAAGTAATAAATTGTAGTGCCTTCTGCTAGTACTGACTCTCATATATGTATGCATACACACATAATCATTAATACAGTAACACAATAACACACACACACACACACACACACACACACACACACACATCCCTACCTCATACAAGACATTACCTAAATATAACTCACCAAATTATGCACGTAACCCTGAGATTTGAGTGTCTGGGAAATCCTTGTGTAGGGGCTGATAATTCGACATGGAATGCTATTCTGATTAATGTTTTCATGCCACCACATTTAACTTAACAGTGTGCCAGGGAAAAAAATTAAAACGAAAAGTGAAAAGCAACTTCCTTATAAATATTCAAGGACTAAGGATTTGGAGAACCTATTGCAGCCTTTTCCTAAACAAGTGCAGTCTCTAACTGTACCCTATACCCAGATGGGTTGTGGTTCCAACCCTCATCAAAGAATCATCTCCTGCTGACCAGTTACAACTGGTCAAAATGAGAGACCAATGGACTGGGGGGGGGTGGGGGAGGGCGCACCTGTTTCCAATTAATAGTTTCAAGAAAATTGTGAAATATTAATCCTAATGAATTACTAGAACTATTCAAAACTTCAAGATTTAAACTGATCCAATTATACCCGATGTTTACTAAGGCAAAATAAGAAAATTACAATGTGAAAAGAGAAGGTCCAATGCTTACTAAATACAGTTTCCACTTACTTGATGGGAAAATCAACTAAGGTATCTAGCTTGTCTCTCATGTATCTACTGTAAGAAAATCGCTTGAGGTGCACCACAAGGACTGGAGGCAGGGACCACAAATCTAATTTCTTTGTGGCTTGCTGATGCTCTTTACAATTTGGACAGTACCTGTGAAGAAGAAGAAGACCATAAAGTTCTTTTGAGGAGATGATCTGCATTAATGAACACTACAAATCAGTAGGTTAAAAATTATCAAGTTCTACCTACATGTTATCAGTGAATAATCACTGTACACTTAATATGTGGTAACATGAAAGATATTCCTCATTATCCTTATACATTTTTCTGATAAACTTAACCATTACAAATATACAAATATATAAATAAATATTCAAAGACAGTCATGAGAGTCAAGGTTACTACTGTAATACTTTAAAAAAAAAAGATGTTAGCACCCCTCTTTAGGCTAGAACTTAACATATAATGATCTTACTAAAATATCAAGGAAGTTTAGTTATTATTTTGCCAATATGACCAAAATAAACCTTTAAAGAAAAAGAACTAGATGCAACCATTTAACATCTTTTCTTACCAGGGGTCTTCAGCACCAAGTTTTTCTTTTGTTGTAAAAAGCTCAATGCAGTCTTTCAACTTCACAAAGGGTTTTTTTGGAGGTTTATATTCCACGCTTTCATGTTTTTCAAAATCCTGAAGAGAACAAATGAAACAAAGCTCATCTTGGTGACACACCTAACTGTACTGAACACTCAGTCTTCAAAGCCTCAGCTGGGATGTGTCTAGCTGCATGTGCATGAACCTCTGGGACTAAAAAAACACACAGAAAGTGTGCTCAAAACCAACTCTCTACCTCACAAAGTAAAAAGTTCACAATTGTTTTTTTTTTTTTTTTTCTTTCCCTGCTAAAAATCAACATATTTGTAGAAGCAAGGGGAGAGGAAAGAAGAGTATGATCAACTGTCGTAGTCAATCGAGAGAGTAAGGAAGGGGTCAAGAAGCAGCAGCAGGGGCTCACCTCGGCAGCATTTTCATCAAAGTATCTCTTTTTCAAATCAGGGTCCCAGTCCAAAGCGAGAAAAGACCTTTCTAAGGTGGAAAAAGTGTTTTTAATTAAAAATGTTGTAAGCTTTAGTGTGCATTAATTCAATATATCTTAGTGCCAATATATATAACAGAAAAAACAAACACCAATTTCTTTAAAACAGTATTTTCTACTTGTACTTGGTGATCAGGGCAAAATACTAACAACCGTTTCCAAGTCACCGAACTAATCTAAGAGTTAAAAAATAACACAAAGATTAAGCATACACAAACTAACCTCATTTTAGTAAAAAGATTATCACTTGCTATATGAAGACATGAGGCTTTTATTTCTTAAAGGTAAGTAACTTTTTTTTTTTTCATGACAGGTCTAAATTTCATGGCCTTCACCTAAAAAAATTTGTTCTGCTCAAGTTCAGTGTTCAACTTACTTCTCACAGATACTCACCATCTAGCCGAAGCTGCCTATCATCGAATCTTATATGCCTGGTGTCATCTTTGATGTAGTTGATATCAGTGTTGCCTAAATTGATGAACTGGAATGTAAAGAGTCTCTTTCTGTGTCCTGTGAGTTGACCTTTACAAGTCTCTTCAGTACACAATCCATTTTCAGAATCATTATCTCCTCCAACGGAATCCTCAGACTGGCTGTTCTCATTCTCTGAAGGGAGTTCTTGATCCTGGCTGGATTCATCATCTGGTTCATCTGTTTCCATTTCACCTTAGTATTTAGTAGAGATCTTTAAATTAACCCTATATTACGTTTCAAAATTATAAAGATTGCTTTTCATATCTTCTCATGTGTTTTAGTTTATTAATGCACATCTCAACCTTTTCTTTGGGGCAATACTGTCTAGGGCAGTAGTGGACAGAACATGGGAAGAAAGTCTTACTTGGTGAGCCTTCTTCATGGATGCCATTGGGGCCGTTCCCATTGATGTTCTGGTCCTCACAGCAACGCAGGGGCCCATCAGTTTCCTCAGTTTCAGTAGACATCTTGACATACCGGCTACAGTAAAATGAGGTCACCAACAAGCTTGTCAAATTCACTTTCCATTTCATTTAATAAAACAAAACAAGTTTAATTCAAACTCAAGACCTAACACTCATATAGTAAAGCTGGCTAATAATTTATATCTTGGTTGCTCTTTAATATAAAAAAAGTCATTATTTACTTATAGGTTTTGCTTTTTGTTGTTTTTGAGACAGGGTCTCACTGTATATCTGTAGTTGGCAGAGTTGACTTGGAACGCTCTATGTAGACCAGGTTGACACTGAACTGGCTCTCCTGCCTCCGCCTCCTCAATTCTGGAATTAAAGGCTCATACCATCACACCTGGCTGTCTGTTCTTTTTAATTTAATTGTAATGTATGTGCATGAGCATCATGTGGGTAAAGACAAGAGGTCAGAGGACACATGTGTAGTCATGGGGTTCTCTCCTTCCACCTTGTGGGTCTCAGTGATTGAATTCAGGGGGCTGGCCATGGTGGCAAGTATTCTTACCTCTGAATCACCTTATCAGCTCTGGGTTTTCCATGTTATACGTTAAAAGTACAGCACAGTAGATCATGTCTCAACTTAAAAGAATTTTATAAATGGTCCTCATTTACATGATGTCTATTTGTTGCGAGGACACTTACATTTGTATAGTGTGATCTTTATACATGGATCATGAAATCATAATGATTTGGTATATAGAAAATATCAAGTATGTCAGCTGTAAAGGATAAAAGAGGTCTCTAATGTTATTCACCATTACCTTATTTACTTCAAGGCTTATTTAAAAAAAAAAAAAAGCAAAGAGTGTCTGGGGCACTAAGCTTATCCTTTGAAAGGAAATGAGTATTTGATCTAGCCACATGCATTTAAAAAAACGACTATTTGACATTTACTGTGATTTCTAGTTTGTACTTATTACAGTTATTTGTCAACTAAAACTTCTAATGGTAAACTGTTGGTGTAAAACAGCTAAGAATTCATGTTTCTGGATTTGAAATAATCGCAGTTGTGAATTATATGTGATCAAGTCAATGGATGAAATTGTAATTTTATTTCGACCTCATTATTTTTTCAGTGGGTTTTGAGGCACTCTTTTATGTAGCCTAGATGGACTCAAATTTGCTATGTAAAGAAGCAGGATCAGGATTCTTGACTGTCTGTCCTCCACATCAAGTGCTGGGGTTATAGGCACACATTCCAAGCCCAGTCCATGCAGTGGGGTTGCAGCCTGGATTTTGATCCCAGGCGTTTGTCATTGCCTTGATGCCCAGCTGTCATCAGCAGTCTTCTGTCTGCTTTGCTGTCCATGAGTTACAAAGACGTGTGTCAGACTCTGGTAGTATCTTGCACAGTGTTTTTCATTAGCTACTTTATATTTTATCCTCAGGTTTCTTTTGCACAGTTAAGCTTATTTGGCACTTACCACATTCTCAAGAGTAGGAGATTATAGAGTTTATCTTCAGTATTATTTCTTGGTACAGCCATAAGAAAAGGCTGACCAAACAGTGAAGAGCCAGTATGGTGGGTATAACTTGAGTGTCTGAATTTTTCTCTTAGGCAAACAGGAATAACCACATGTTCCGTGTCTTCTGTCCTGTTGATGTTAATTTCAAACCTACGAGGGTGAGAATGACCATAAACTACATGTTCTATGTTAGTTCTTTAAGTTTTTTTACCTTTTTAACAACAGATTATAAACGGATATTAAACACTTACACATATATGTCATCCCGCTCCATAATACTACTGAGGTTTTCATCCATGGCAAATATCCTGTGAAATCTATGATTGTATATGTCAGTGACTATCATCTAGAAGAAAACAAATTTCTATTAAGCTGGCTTTACAATACTGAGAAACTAAATACCAATTTATGTACTTCAATCTCAGAAACATCTCACCTTATCTGCAGGTACTCCTGACAAAGCAGACAATGCTGCACAAAGATCTAGTATATTTCCAATTTTGGGAACAATAACTTTGTACTAAAAAAAAAAATAAAATTTGTAATGAATTTATGACACTGGACAAACATTGACTAGTTGAGCCTGGGCCTGTGATTGCTCCCACTCATAAAAAAGTCTCAGAGCACTTCTCTAATTTCTATGTTCCTGGGTGATAATATCCATCATAATGACTTTCTAGCTGTATTGTATCTTGGTTCCCCAATTCAAAGAGCCACCTGTAGCCCACTGCCTGAACCTGTCATCACATAAAGCTGTTTCATTTCTGGTGCCTTACATTCTAACAGGTTACTTCTCACCTCTTCTTGGTTTGTGTATAGATTTCTAGTCTTTATGATGGTTTTCTCTCTACTATCATGATGTACATTCACCTAGACCTTATTTCTTCCATTACCCTGCTGCAAAAACCTGTCTTTGCCCCTCAGATCTATTTCTGATGAACTATGGTGGTTTGAACTAAGAATGATCTTCATAGATTCATATGTCTGAATGCTTAGTCATCAGAGAGTGTTGTTATTTGAAAGGATTAGGAGTTATGGCCTTGTTGGAGAAGTGTGTCACTGGGGCTGTGCTTTGAGGTTTCAAAAGCCCAAGCCAGTCCCAGGGTCTCTTCCTATTGCCTCCAGATCTAGATGCAGGACTCTCAGCTAATTCTCCAGCACCATATCTGCCTGCATGTCGCCTTGCTTCCCACCATGATGACAATGGACTAAACCTAACTAAGTAAGCCTCAATGGCATGTTTTCCTTTAAGGAGCTGCCGTGGTCATGGTATCTCTCCACAGCACTAGAAAGATGCAACTTTCTTATAGCTATTTGTATATGCTGAGAAAACTTATCAACTTCAGTGCTGTTATGCTATGAATTAGACTCCAGGTCAACACTCTTCACCATTGCCAGGAACAAGTCTGTGTGTCACTAGCTTGTTTGGTCTACAGTAATTATTTGAAATCTTCACCATTCTTTAGTGTTCTATTTTGTTTCTCTTTTCAGTACCAGAAGAACACCTAAAAAACTGAAGCTACTTTGAGTAGCAAAGTCGGGTTGTTTTCTTTCCATGCATACCTGACCCTAGCACCTAGGCTCTAAATGCTATTTTCTGTCCCCTCCCCCCCCCTTTTTTTTGGACACTCAGTAATTATCTCCTTTTCCATTTACCTTAACTTTATGTAAGTATTGAAATATATACAAGTCTTAAAAAATTACTCAAAAGACAAAGAACCAAATCCTTAAACCAAAATAGGCCTTTATGGCTTTCTGTAACAATCCCCCATCTCCTAGAGCTCACTGCTCACTTTAAAACTCAAGTGGTTTAAACTATAAAGCAAACGTGTTGGTTGTCATTGATGAGAGAAATTTATTTTTCTATGACATTCTTCAACTTTTCATAATTCTAAAAAGGTATAATTTCTAGAGTATTTAGCTTATGAAATCTATTAGACAATAAATTTTATCACTGAAGTGTGCTGGAGAAAACAACAAGTTTTATACTAGCCCTTTCACTAATTACATAAAAATATCAAGTACAAAGAAAAAGGTTATAACTTACTTGCATAGGTTTAATAAGTGGATCCATTCTAACTAAATAAACTTCCAAGCTACGTTCTTTTTTCATGGGCAATGGAAGTGTCAAGTAACAAAAAGGGTCAAAGGTTACTGAGATCTTAGCACATTCAGGACACACTAAAGTAGACTTGAAAAGGCCATGAAATATGTCTACTATGATAGAATCATTTCTTTTCAAATGGTTTTCCCAGGCTTCTTCAGCAACCACCTACAAGGAAAATGAACACATGTCACTAAGCGGTATGAGAAAACTGTAACAATGATAACAATAACATCATGAAGTTTACTTACTTTATCTGGCCTGCCATCAGCATCTTTTAACTGTATATATGGTTTTTTTCTAATTCTATTCAAATCCTCATGTAATCCATCCAATAGGAAAGCTAAGAGTTCTTGGCAGTCTTGCTGTTGATATCCAGAGAACTGGGGTGCAAAGCGTCCTACCTGTGTCTGTAAGACAGACAAACCACAAAATCAGATAGACAGGATGTCTCAAAAGCACAGTTGTTCTCAATATTCATGAGTTTCCACAGGAGAAATATGCCAAGTCAAATTTGTGACACATGTTAAATCAACTGAAGATATGTTCCAGTAAAAAATCCTGTTATGTGATTTATACATCCCCACTGGGGGAAGAAAGCTACACTACCTTTTAGTTTCAGCTTCATTTTGTAATTTTATTTTTTTTAGTTTTATAGTTATGTTTTCTTCTTTATACTTTTGTGCTTTCCTGGTAGGCTATTTAGAGTGTAAAACATTTCCCAAGTAGAGTGCTAAGGTGTTGGCCAGAGTTCATAAACACAGAAAGTGTGAGTATATTTTATGGGGAAAACACAATTAGATAAATTTTTTTAAGCAATGAGTTATACTGTTGGTTGTGAAATCAGCATTTATGTGTCAACCATATAAAATATGGACTTTTCAAACAGACATACATATAAAACAAAGAACACATTGATTAGTTAATGAAAATGTGATCCAAGGGTTGACAGAATCAAACCCTGCATTTTCCCTAGGAGTGTGCTTCTGTATTTGTTCATTTAATTTGTGCTAACATTATGGAAAATAACTTTTGTGAAGAGTTAAAACTGACTACTTGTACAGAATAGGAATAAACACAAGTATGCTACATGTATGTATGTATGTAGTTTGTTTATTTTGAATTTCCAGTAAAGATGTGATAAATCTTTATCTGGGACAAAACAGACAATACGTGGACTCTCTAAAAACAGAGCTGGGCACAGTGACAAGCCTGTGGTCTCAGGAAGCTACTACAGGGAATGCTGGAGTCCAGAAATTTGGGACTAGCCTAGTAATATAGCAAGAACACATTGCAAAATAAAATAAGAAAAAATATGTATCATATATAAACATATAATATAAATTACACACACACACACACACATATATATACATACACACATACATATACACACACCCAAACATGTAAAGAACTCTCTCTAAATGTAGTAATCATTTCTTGGCCTTATATTGCCATTATTAATAGGCATTTCACTATTTACCTAAGGAGTTTTGGCATTATTTAGCTACAGGTATTCCTATAATGACTGGCAGGCAGACAATGGGGGCAGGTTCTCAGCCCAGATTGATCGATCTATCGATCAATCAATCAATCTATATTCTGAAATAATTTTCTAAGTTATTGACTTGAGGATCAAATAAAGTCAATCAATCAATCAATCAATCAATCAATCATCAATCAATCTATATTCTGAAATAACTTTCTAAGTTTCAGAAAACCCTGACTTGAGGACCAAATAAAGTCAAAGTATGGTAAAATTTATACAAGACATTGTGAAACACTGGAGACTTAAAAGCTAGTAACATTTTACTGAGTCGCTAAAGAAAAACTAAAAACACTTTTGGACATTGCAAAAGAGAGGAAAAATCTGATGGCCAAAAGGCACATTACAGTTCTTTACAATTTTCGTTGATCTTTATAGTACTAGAATTTTTAAATAAAATATCATCTGAATCATAAGATGAATAGAAAAGGCCTGATAATTAATAGGTGTATATGTACAGAAAACTTAAAAGAGGAAAAAAATCTAGCAAAATGAAACTTGAGGGTTGGTTTTTCTGGGCAGGTCTGCCCAAGGTTTAGAATGTGAAAGAATAAATGAAGGAGTAGTTTGATTTATTGACTGCTTCGTATTATACTTGAATTTGTCCTGGATAACATTTATTTACTGTTTGTGTGCACACTCATATGGGGTCAAAGGACTCAGTTATTTTTTAATCATGTATTTAATTTTTTATCATCCTTTTATATTTGGGTGTTTTGCCTGCATTGTCTTTGCACCATTTGCATGCAGTGCCCGTGGAGACCAAAAGAGGGCATCAGACCTCCCTGGAAATGGTATTAGAGATGGCAGGTAACTACCATGTGATCCCTGGAAGAGCAGCTAGTGCTCTTAACATCATAGCCACCTCTAGCTCTGACTCATTTTTTAAGAACTGGTAGATAATTAACAAGATATTTTCTAGTAGATGTTCTAGGAAAGACACTTACCTGTAATGACTATGGCTTACAGCAAACATCCAAGTGTAAGAACTACTGAAGATATAATCTGCACATTAATTTCATTCTGGTTCTTTTTTTTACACTCTACATGATCATATGGATAAACTAGATAACTTAGATTTTGTTATGTCTAAGTTATTCTGGCATGTCTGAAGAAAGTTCTTTACATCACACATTTATGTAGGATTTCCAGAGACATTCCAAACCACTTTAAACCATATTAGTGTCTTTTTGTTTTGTTCCCCTTATTATTCCCTTTATTAGTAACCTTTTTCATAAAGATTTAGTTTTAATTATGTGTACACAAGTGTGAGTTTGCACCTGAGTGCAGATGCCCATGGAAGTCAGAAGAGGGCATCAGATCCTCTCCAGCTTGAGTCACAGAGGCATTTCTGAGCCACCTGATGTTGGTGCTGGCAACCTGGGTACTGGAAACTCAAGTCCTCTGGAGAGGTAGGAAGTGCTCTTAACCGGAGCCATCCCTCTCCAGCCCATTTCCAGACATTAAGAAAACAAAACCACTCCAGGCGTTGGTGGCGCACGCCTTTAATCCCAGCACTCAAGAGGCAGAGGCAGGTGGATCTCTTTGAGTTCGAGGCCAGCCTGGTCTCCAGAGCAAGTGCCAGGATAGGCTCCAAAGCTACACAGGTGTCTCAAACCCCCGAAAGAAAGAAAGAAAGAAAGAAAGAAAGAAAGAAAGAAAGAAAGAAAAGAAAGACAAAAACAAACAAAGAGCCCTAATCACCCACCCTGTCCTGTGCCCTGTGTCACATGGATGGGATGACACTGTAATGGGACATCATCCCTTTCACCTTAGTATTTTTTTCTTTTCTTTCTTGATTTTCTGGGGACAAGAGCACACTTGCTGAGAGTAAGCTTATCATACTCACCTTAAATGCTCTAGGAGTGACATAGCTGAACTTTCCAGACCACATCTGCTTGATCAATTCAGCATATGACTTAGCTATTTCACCTCTCATTCCTAAGGGATTGTCAAAATTCAGCTCTTCTTGGTACTTGTCATTGAGGAAATATTCAGTAAGTGGAGGTGTGTTGCTCAAACACTGCAAGGAACAAAATACATCTTAAAGTAAAAGTAATAACATAAATACATAATGTTAAAATGAAGAGTGAATCAAATCAATTTACTCTATCATATACAGAAACAAAAATGGTCTCTTGTACTAATTAACTGTCACTCAAATGGGGCACTTACTCATTTCACAAACTTTCAATCAGTTACTTATAATAAAAATACTAATGTGTGTTGCTGCAAAATCTACATTTAATTCTGACCACAGCAAACTACCTGTTAATTGGGAGAGAAGCTCGGAGTTCTCTTTCCTTCTTTTACTTGATTGGTAAGAATTATGGATTGTCTAATCATCCCAGGCACCTGAAAATGAGCCTGAGCAGGTAAAAACTGAGATAGCATGCAAGAAAAAAAAAAAATCACTTAAAAGAGGTACAGATGGTTCATGATATCCATGGCCTCAATTCAATTACAGATAGGAGAATATTTGGGAAAAAAAGTTACATTCATACCTAACAAAAGTTTTTTGATCATTATTCTTTAGCTGGTAAAATGTAAAGGCACTATAGGCAAGCTAGAGATGATTTAAAATGTATAGGAGATACCTAGGTAATGTGGTAATTGTAAGTCATTTAATATAAAACACTTGTGTATCAGCCGGGCATTGGTGGTGCATGCCTTTAATTCCAGCACTCAGGAGGCAGAGGCAAGCGGGTCTCTCTGAGTTCGAGACCAGCCTGGTCTACAAGAGCTAGTTCCAGGACTGCCTCCAAAGCCACAGAGAAACCCTGTCTCAAAAAACCAAAAACACTTGTGTATCTGTGGATACCATGACAATGACTGTATTTACTGCTTCTGCAGCCAATGCCTTATCATAAAGGAGTTTTTAAACCTGTCATCTGGCTGGCAGTATTTATAAATGATAGTATTGACCAGTAAAGCCTAGGAAGACAACTTTGGGCAAACCCTGTTTTTTTTTTTTGTTGTTTGTTTGTTTTTTGGGGGGGGGAGTTCGAGGCAGGCTTTCTCTGTGGCTTTGGAGGCTGTCCTGGAACTAGCTCTTGTAGACCAGGCTGGTCTCAAACTCGAAGAGATCTACCTGCCTCTGCCTCCCGAGTGCTAGAATTAAAGGCGTGTGCCACCACCACCCAGTTTACAGTTCTTAATACAATAACAATCCAATTTTCTTTTATGAGAAAATTAAAAACTGCAACAAAGTTCTCCAACTTGTTTTTTATTTGAATCAATTCCTGATAAAACATTTAAGAGATGGTAGAAACACATTTTCCCACAATATTTTATCTTATGATGGAATAATTTTAAATTGATGATGTATATAATTTGACCTCAGTAGGAGCCATGTTACTTTACTAATGAATGTTTCAAATATGTAAAGTGTTACATACAGTATAATTATCTAAGTCATATAAATAGCCATATATACCTTTTTATGCAAGAATGTATTTTTCTTGGAGTCAAGTGACAAAGTGCTAGAAAAGAAATCAGTTGCGTGTGTGAAACATTAAAAAAAAATCATTCTGTTCAGAGTTTCAATAGTCATGGAAATCAAAGTTTTGGGGAGCTGGTATGCAACTAAGTTGCATAAAGTTAAAAAGGCTTTGTAGTGATGTTCAACATGCTGGGATTATGAAGATAGTTTAAATTATGACCATATTATGTAGTCTGGTCAAAATACCAATGTAAGCATATTCTTTTACTTAGTTCTTTCAAGTAAATTATGATACTCTTTTTTTTTTTTTTTGGTGTCAACTATACTCACTTATGTCTACTAAGTCATCATAGTTATCTATAAAATCTGAATGTAGTCTAAATTGGTAGTCAAGCCCCAACCCTCAAGAGGACCTTGGAAACTTTGCAGGCCTTGAGAGTCCTTTACATTTGCTTCCAGTATTAAAAAAAAAAAAAAAAAAAAAAACAACTTTGTATTAAGAGAAAATACATAGGGAGTTTATAATGTACAAGGTAATTAAGGGAAAGGATACATTCTTTTGATCCCAAATCCTTTTATGTCTCAACAATCATATATCCCACTTGAGTTTCATTTTCTTCTTTTGTTTGACATTTCACTTTTAATTGCAAATGAAGCACTGGAGGGAGGGCCAGGCAATAGAGACCTCATTAGAAGAACACAGCTGCAGTCACCTAGCAGCACCCTCTCATTTGCCACAAGTAGCAAAGTGGCAGTAACAGCAATATATAACTAGCTCTTAGTTTCCAAATCTTCATATTTGATTTGGTTACCATTATTAATAATTAATTAATAAAGTCTATTATTACACTTATACAAATAACCAAATTTATGGCTTTACCAAATAGTTCAAAAAATAAGCGGTGCTAACATGAATAATTTCTGAACATTATTTTTAATAAATTATTCATGAGTATTCTTAACTTGCAAGACCTCCCAAATACAACTAAAAAAAATTTTAGCTCTCTACCAGTGATCTTTTAAGCGTGTTTAATATTACTTCCTTACACTCATCTTAGAACCCAGTTCTCAGATATTCCTCTGACAATAAATGAATGCCTTTACTTCTTTGTGCACTGACAGACAGTCCCTTAACTTCTATGCTTCCTCTCAATGCCACACAACTTCACCTATTTAAAAACTATCTTCTCGCCATATTAGTTCCATCCTCTAAATGAGATTCGGGTATCCCATCTGGGATGTGCTCTCAGATCCTCAATGTTTCCTACTGTGCTTGTATTCTGCTTAGTGTTCACTTTCATTATAGCACTGGTTTTATGATATGTAGTAACATTATTGCTAGTCTACGTTACATGGGCTGTGACCTTCATGACAGCCTTCATATATCACTTGACACTAGTCATTACACAATAAATACTTACACTTAATAAAAATGTTCTGCCTGTATTTACTAATGTATTTATTCTGTTCTTAATTTTTCTTATTACTTAACACAGAATGCTCAATTCATTTTTGTCTAATGAGATAAGTAAGTATACGCATTATTTGAAAAGCACCCTGAAGCCCCAGGATGAAAGCAGGCAGTATGTTGAACACTGTGCACCTTTATGTCTGCTTTTCTCCTGACTTTGCAGTGAGCCTCTTTGACTTTGACTAGCTCCTATTCTTACAGAGACACATGCCAGTTTGAATTGATTATACTTCAGCATCGACACACTGAAGATGAAATACAAATACTTCTAACAAGTGGGGGCCTGGACTACTTATGGAGATAACACATCCAATATTTAAAATTCACTCTGCTGAATATAATGCATTAACAAACTTTCAAGTTATATATTCCTCTAACAATTTGTAAAAGCACATGAATATAGAGACCCCTTCCTTAGCTACGCAACCGTTTTACTAATATACAAATCATGATTGCTTAAATAAGTGATGTCAGAATTTTCTCCTAATCTTGAAAGCACTGGTACATGAGCAGTTATGTTCTTTAAATCATGTAACTTTTAACAAATTTCAAGACAGTATTAGAATGAAGGTCAAGCATCCAGTTGTCTCCATGTCAAAAGTGCTGTTCTATCTACATTCAACACCATCATTTGGGATGAAAAGAAGAAGCCAGTTTCTTGGTTGTGGTGTTATTTGATGTGAAATTACTATATCATTTAGTGTTTTCATATGAGCCTTTCCTAAAATGAGAAAAGTCTTCAGTGACTGAAACTGGATGCTTAGACTGCCTGCCATCAAACATAATATTCTAAACAATAACTCATTTTTAAAAAAGTAATTCATTTATTTTATGTGCACTGGTGTTTTGCTTTCATGTATGCCTGGGTGAGGGTGTTGGGTCCCTAGAACTGGAGTTACAGACTGTGTACTGCCATGTAGTGCTGAGAATTGAACCCAGGTCATCTAGAAGAATACCCAGTGCTCTTAACCACTGAGCCATCTCTCTAGTCCTAACAATTCCTTTTTAAAAATGTACATATATGCATGTTTCTCCATATTTAAGGTAGGAAATTACTCTTTTAGACTCAAAGATAGTTTGAATGATACTAAAAGTCTAATTATCATGTGTAGCATAAAGGCTTCATTGACTGTTAAAACTAAGCAAAACAACTCTAACTTCTTAACATAAATGGTTGTTGTTAGCAAAACCAAAACATGTATGAACACATTATAAGAAAAACCAAATGCATAAACAGCATTAGTAAATATATTACTTTTGGCTACTTCTGACACGATACTGTTCTGTTAATTTACTGACATCCAACCACCTGACACTGTCAAACATCAAAATCAAGAAAACTAGATTGAATTATCTATAATAAAAATGGGGTCCAAACATGAGGAAACGTATGGATATTAAGACACACAGGTATATAAGTTTTTGAGATATGGTTCTATTATATAAATATGGAGTCCTGTTCTTCCTCCCTTAGTTTTCTCAGTACTGGGAAAAACAGATCTTATGTTCTATTTTATTTAGAATTGGGTTTACAGTTTGTTCCTCAAATGGGGGAAAAAAATCCTTTGAAGATCATATTAAAGATAAAGTAATACCATACTTGATAATGTCATGATGAAACTACCATCATGTACAAACCATCTATACTAATTAAGAATAAAGCAATAACCAGACAAAAGAGATTCTTAATAGCATCTTCAACTCAACACAAAAGAGGAAAAAGCAAGCAATTTATGTTAATGAATAAGTAAGGTACTTGTCAGGCTAAATATTTCTATACTTAAGTATTTAAGAACGGATCCCATGCAAGCTAAAGTGTATAAAATTGGCAAGGACAATAGAAATTTAAGGATGAGTAATCAATTTCATATTTGGTCTACATATATGGTAATCTTTTTGCAATTACTAATTTAGCTTTCATGACACAATGATGAGAAACAAGGCTGAGTAAGCAAGCTACTATATAAAGTTAATGATTGAGGAGAAATGGTAGGAAAGGTGATATAACATAGTTATGACAGCATGCATAAGACTTAAGCAAGCAAAAGCCATACCAAATCCCAGCATGAAGAAAGGAGGAGGGAATAAAGTCCCATCCCAAGCAAAGAAG